CTCCCCGCCTGTCCCCATCCCCACCCCCCCGTACTGTGTCTCTAGTTTATAGTTGCTTGTTGATTTTGATTTTTACTTTGTATTAATTAGACTTTTTCCTGGACCCTTATTTAGGTTTTCTAAATCCCTGCTATGAGTGAGACCATCCGGTGTTTTTCTTTTTCTTTCCAACTTATTTTGCTGAGCATGATCCCTTCTAGCTCCATCCATGTTGCTGCAAACTGCATGTGTTTATCTTTTTTGATTGCTGAGTAATATTCCATGGTGTATATGTACCACATCTTCTTGATCCAGTCATCTATTTTTGGGCATTTGGGTTGTTTCCAAAGCTTAGCTATTGTAAACAGTGCTGCTATAAACATAGGGGTGCAGGTGCCCTTTGGAATTACTGTTTCTGTGTCATTTGGGTAAATACCTAGGAGTGGAATTGCTGGATCATATGGAAGCTCTATGTTTAGTAGTTCAAGAAATCTCCAAACAGCTCTCCATAGTGGTTGGACCAGTTTGCACTCCCACCAACAGTGCAGGAGAGTTCCTTTTTCTCCACACCCTCGCCAACATTTGTTGTTGCTAGTTTTTTTAATATGTGCCATTCTCACTGGTGTAAGATGGTATCTCATGGTAGTTTTGATTTGCATTTCCCTGATTGCAAGTGATGTTGAACATTTTTTCATATGCCTGTTGGCCATTTGCATTTCCTCTTTGGAGAAGTTTCTTTTTAGCTCTTCTGCCCATTTTTTTGACTGGATTATTTTCTTTGTTTTTGTTGAGTCTCATCAGCTCTTTGTAGATTTTTGTGATCAGTCCTTTATCATTAGTGTTGTGTGCAAAAATGTTCTCCCAGTTGGTGGGGTTTCTCTTTGTTTTGGTTATTGTCTCTTTTGCTGTGCAGAAGCTCTTTAATTTGTTAATGCATATTTCTAATATGCATTTTAAAAAACAATAAAAATTTTCAGAAAACAAAGCAAAGCACATTTATATAAAAACTATAAACTTTCTTTTTCATTTTCTATTTACTTGGGAGCACTTTCTTTGGCTTCAGAGGCCCAATTAATTTATTTGTGAATAGGTAATAGGAAATGGCTATAAAAATAAACACAGGTTTGAAGTCCCAGATTTGGTTTAAACTCTGACAGTCAGTCTTGGGTTTATCACCTACTCTTCAAGAGTCCATAGTTTCCTCTCCTTCTAGTGGATGATAACAGTATCATCTGGGGCAATACTGTCAGGAACCCCTTTTATTCTAGGGGTCATGCACACAGTGCCAGCAGATAACTCCTGTTCACTGGAAAGACTTTTTTCCCCTAAGTTCTCATGCCTGCCTCTCTGAGGACTTAAACATAGAGAAAACGTTTTCTAAGCCCAAATCTCCTCTTTCCCCAAATCATTTTTCATAACTTTCAGATGGCAAAAGTGACTCCAGTTATATAAACCGACCTGCTTATCCAGATGTAAGTTTATGAGGTAAGAGGTAATTTGAAGGTTAAATCTTAATATAACATTATTATATACATACAACACAAGAGAGGAGTGGCTGCAGTGACCTGGGTACACAGTGAGATCAGAGCTCCTAAAACCCAGCACTGCACGGTATAAGCAGGCACCCAAGATAGAGGGTGCATGACTGGAGAGCTGTAGCAGTGTGGGCCCAGAGTGAGGACCACTGGCATGAATCGGAAGTTCATAACACAGAACAGCTATATAGAGCCTAAATTGGGTCAGAACACCTGAACCTCCCTATAGAAGAGGCTACTACAGAAGCGCAGGCTGAGATACCCAAACTACCTGCCACCCCCACCAAGAAATGCTTCACAAGAAGTTCAAATGTCTAAGTCTATGGAGGTGATCTTTCCATGCCTATTGTCTCAGTCTTCTTTTATACCTACTACCCTTCTCAAGTACCAGCCCCCCAACTACTCCCTGATATGAAAAAAATAAAGGTGAAAATCTAGCCCTACTAAAATCCATACAAAAGTGGAAATGGAGTCAGAAGGACACAGATGCCAGAACAAAAAATCCCTGAAAGAAGCTCTGACTCAGTGGAGTTGTGAAGCATGATGGATGGGGATTTAGGGCAACAGTCCTTGCAATGTTGATAGAACTTAAAAAAAAAAAAATAGAGGACATAAAACAACAGAATAAAGATAATGAAAATATGAGGCAGCTACATTCAGAAATAATGGAATTAAGAAACACTATAGCTGATTTTAAAAATAGAATTAAGAGCCTCAATAGCAGAAAAACAGAAGCAATGGAAAGAATTAATGAACTCAAAACACAAAGTTGGATAAGACAAGAATAGAACAAGGTAGAGAAAAAGGAATGAGAACAATGGGAGGGGCTGCTAAAGAGAAATAATATCCATATCATGGGGATCCCAGGAGAAGGAAAAAAAAGAAAGGTATAGAAAATCTATTTGAAGAAATAATTTGGGCCTTCCTGGTGGTGCAACAGGTTAAGGTGCACTATGAAACAATCTGCAGCCTCTGCAGCATAAGTTCGAAGCCTGACTGGCCAGGGAGTAACCCACATGGTGCAGCAGACCTCTCCTGTCTTGCCCGCTGCTCCCCCCAGCAGTGTATTTAGGTCACTGTGTTCTGCACTCTGTCTCTGATGAATCCTCTCATCCCCCCAAACTTCTTTCCTGTACTTCTTTTTTTTGAAAAAAGAAATAATTACTGAAAACCATTTCAATCTGTGAAATGAACCAGAAGTTGTGATCCAAAAAACCAAGAGTTCCAAAAAAAAAAAATAATAATAATGCCAGATAGACATACACCAAAACATGTAATAATAAAGCTTCCAAGAACCAACAGCAAAGACAGAATATTAAAAATATCAAGGGTAAAAGGGGTAACAAATAAGGGAATACCAATCACATTGTCAGAGGACTTTTCAGCAGAAAAATTACAAACACAAAGGGACTAGAAAAAGATATTTAAAATACTTAAATACTTTACCCAGTAAGATTAACAATCAAGATAGAAGAAAGAGTAAGGACCTTCATTAAAAAGCAAAAATGGGGGCCTCCTTTGTGGCGCAAGGGGTTAAGACACAGCACTATGAAGCTAGCCACAGTCACTACAGCACGAGTTTGATTCCCCAGCAGGCCAGGGAGCAACCCACATGGCGCAGCAGACCTCTCCTGACTTGCCTGCGGCTCCCCTCAGCAGTGTATTTTAGTTAATTTCAGTGTATTCCAGTAGTGCCTGTTGTGTTCCCCACTCTTATCTCTGGAGAATCCTCTCACCCTCCACACCTCTGGCCTGTATCCCAGTTCTTATATGCATAAATAAATAAATCTTAAAAAAAAAAAAAAGCAAAGCAGGGGACTGTGGTGATGGTGCATGGGTGCCTTGGGGAAGGACATTCTATGGGGACTCAATCTGAGGGGGTGGGGGGAAGAAAATATTGTCTAAAAAATGTAAAAAAATTGATAAATGTTAAAATAAAAAATTAAAAAAATAAAGATAGAAAGGATAATCCAAAAAACAAAAACAAACAAACAAAAAAAGCAAAAATGAAAAGAATTAAACACCAAGACTCAAACATGCCAAAGAAATTCTAAAAGGATCATTATAAAGCAACAGAACAATGAATAAATATTGAGGTCACAGACACCCAAATTACTTAATTTGGAGGAGGAGACGAAAAGCAACAATGTTATCCACTACAACTAGCCAGAGACCAAACAGTCCAATGGGTCACCCAAATAGCTCTTCATATACTAACCTCAGTAGAATCCTCAGACAAAAAATAATGCAAGAATCTCATAAGACAACAGAAATGGAACTTAAAACATATAGGAAGTCCCCCCACCCGGCAAAATTAAAAAGACAAGAAAAACCAAACATAGCAAAATGGCAATAAGCGCTTATATCTCAATAATCACCTTAAATGTAAATGGCATGAACTCAGATGTATAGTGACTGAATGGCTTTCAAAACAAAACTCAGCTTTCTGCTATTTACAAGAGATTCACCTTATCAACACAGACAAGCACCAATTTAAAGGTTGGAAGACAGTTATACAAATAATAAATGGCAACAACAAAAATATTAGGAAGTGTTAAAAAAGGTAGGATATAAAGAAGGACACTATATTATGATTAAGAGTCTAATACCACAAGAAAAAAATAACACTGGTAAATATATGTCTACACTGAATGATAGAAAAGGAAAACAAAAGGATTTGAAACTTGGGCTACAGAAAGCAAATAAGCCAGATTTAATGATGGTGTCTGCAGAATTATATTCTTTAAAGATGCTACAAAAGAGTTAGGAGAGTCTATTTAGTATTTGATTAAAGGCAAATTTAGAAGATCCTTGGTTGAAAACAAAATATACTAAATGAACACAAATCTTTAAAGCTACTAACCAATTTTTATGGAATATGGATAAATTTAATCAGTATACCATCTTTATGACAGTGATAATAGGTTTTGGAATTTACACTGCAAATTTATAACTCAATCTGATCCTCCAGCACCACCAGCACCATCTAAAACTCAACATAGTATTATATATTCTTCGATATGCCTTTAACCATAAATTTATGAAGACATGCTTATCAACTCAGGTGTTTTGAGTCTGGGGCAGAAATATTTGAAGGGAATTGCTTCTTAAAGTGGCCTTCAAAATGTATACAGTTTATATTTTGGGTTTGTTATAGTTTGCCTTTTCAAATAATTAAAAAATACTGTTTATTCATCTTTCTGATTTTGTTCTTACTTGCTTAAAAAAAAGAGGAAGCAGTAAGACTCAAGGACAGGAGGTTTCTCTCTCTCTCTGTCTGTCTGAAATATGGGTCTGGGTAACTTATTATTTAAGCATGTTTTCTGACTTCAAACTCATTGTTCTAATAACTAAACATTTACCTTTAATATGTTCTGTGAAAACAGTACTCTAGCTTTCCTCTTTAAGGCCACCTTAAGAAAAAAAAAAGAAGGGGAAAAAAAAAAAAAAAACAACCACCACTTCTGCAGCAACTGAAGTGATCCAGCCCACATTTTAGCCCCTCCTACCAAGGAGAAGCCTTTACTTTTCTTTGGTCCTGGGGCTGAAAAAAGGATCCTGACGGAAAACTAGAGGCACAAAGGAAGCGAGGAATCTCATGTAACTCTGGGAACTGTAAGCATTACATTTACTCTTCCCTGCTCAATCTCTGTCTCCCACCCTTTTAGCTTTGAGTGAATGCCTAACTTGCAAGGAAGAAGGAATACGGGAAACTTGGTATTCCCTACTTTGCAAAACCTGCTCGTTCCTTGCCTTTGAAAAAAGTCAGATCAGGGATCTTACTTCTTCACCAATGACCCTTTGCTTTCCCGGGTCTAAATCAATTCCCGGTGGAGTCGAAAGATGAGGGGGTTCCTTCAATGACAGCCCAGAGAGAGAAAAATTAATGTGAACATTCAAAAGGGCTGTGAGGTGGCTGTCTGCTCCACGTGACGCCATGTGGTGTCACCCACCCCCAGACTTGTACAGCCTGCTGTTTGACATCCCTAAGGATCTGTCTTGGCTAAGGAGTTTGGTGACTCATTTAACGTTTTAATTTAAAAAACAAAATGTCATTTGGGTTACAATTTATGTGTGGCAGAGTTAGGGGAAAGAAAGAGAATACTGAAATATGAATTGCTAGCCGGCTGGTATTCCTATTCTCCCTTCCCCTAATTTATTTGACGTGCCAGGAGACAAAAATCAAAACTAGATGTTGGAAAAAATTTAATCAAATAAGAAAGTTAAGTGTTGAATGTGGATATTATTTCAGTAATTTTGTTTTAAAGGAAGCAGTAAAAAAAAAGGCATTTGGACTTAAAATAATCGTGGTTTAACATATCTAAGTCTCCTATAATTTATGATCTTTTATCTTAAAAGTAATTTTCACCTCAACAACTAGAACAAGAAATGTTCTTCACACAGGTTGATAATGCCAAGGCATTTGGGGATACTGGAGGAATAATTCTGGGATGGATGTCAGTTAATTCTCAATTTAGGATGTTAGCAAATATGATCCTTTGGGTTCAAGGAGAATTTGTGTTTTGGGTTTTTTTTTCCCTGTTTGTTGTATAAATCTGGAATTGTAACCCAAGAGATATTTGCAGGCGATATTAGCAAAATATACCGTTAAAAGTTTTAATATTATATTCCAGAGTTCCTTAGCCAGTCAAGTTTAATGTTGGGTTAAAAAAAAAAAAACAACACACCAGGTATTTTGCTTCTTTTGCTGAGTGGAGGAACAGCTAATTTAAAATTAAGCAATAATTGTGAAATCCATAGAGAAGTGTTTAATCTGCATTTGCTCAAAGCAGCTTTACAAACTTCCGGTAGGGCAAGTGTATTTTATGGGACATGAAACTGCTTCTTTTTAACACTGGAAGACACCTTTGAAGTATTTTACATTTATACTTAATTAGGAAAACGGAAACTGTTAAATAGATTTTTTAATACCTGATAAAATTCATTCCATAGAGATCATTTGACTTGTGCTTTAATCCAACACTATCATCCCTTGTATCATCCCTTAGAAAGCAAAGTCATATAACCAAATCATTTATTTATTAAAAAAATGTTTCAGGAATTCAAAAAAAGAAGACAGAATTTGTTGCGGTTCCTTTTCATATAGTATGCGTTTTATTTACCGTCATTTCCCCCCTTCCCTTTCTCTATTGCGTATTTAATAGCTTTATTCTCAGTCCCCCCTCCACTTTTTAATCACAGATCATTTTACAAATTTTATGAAAGTTGTAGACCCCTCACCCAGGAGAATGCACACATGTTCTGCTGACATGCACAAATTTCAAAACACCTTTAGGAAGTTTTAAGAAAATCTGAAAACATTTCATGTCACGAGGAAACGAAATATTTCTTAGAACTTTGGAGTTTTCTGATATCAAATAATTGATTACCAAATCATTATACCTATAAGAACTTATTAGGCTTGCCATTGTATTTATTGTTAGTTGTCTATATTTACTGCTTTCATTCCCAAATTCCCAGTGCTGTTTTATAATGTTCTTGTTTATTACAAAGATAATTCATGCTCATTATTAAAATTTCATTAAATATAGAAATTGCAAAGAAGAGTAGGAAAGAAGTTACCTATAATCCTCCTGAGGGCTAATTACTTGTAAATGTCATTCATTCATTCTATCAACAAATACTACTGAGTATCTAGCATGAATCAGCATAAAGAGACCAGGAATTCATGTGTGTGTACCTCTTCATACTTCTAGATATTTTTTTCTACATGTGCATTCACATGTAGATTTTATGAAATTGTAATTACACTTGTTAAAAGATATATTGAGGAATATTACAAATTTTAAGAGTTTATTTGAGCAAATACTGACTTGGAGAGGGTAGTACTAAATCGGAAGTGATCTGGAAGTTTTCCCCTGCAAGCACTTGGGAGAAACCTTCACAGAAGAAAGGCTAAAACAAGTTAAGGAAAAAAATTGATCGACTATAGATCAACTTGGTTGGTTGGTTGTGATTGATTGTACTTAGGTTTCAATTTTGTAATCCTACAACATTAATAGACTTTAGATTTTGTGTTGTTTAGTCATGCCACCAAACACCAGTCTAAGGGCCTTCTTGCTTAATTAATTTAAGACACTATTCATGCTGTTTTATAACATGCTTCCTCTTCAATCATGAAATTTTCTGCTAAAACACCATTTTTTATACTTCTGCATTATTTTGATTTCATTCATAAACTAAATATTATTGAGTTCCTACTATGTGTCAGACTCTGTACTGGTAATGGCTGTCTGTCCCTGAGTAAAGCAGCATGATTCTCACCAGAAAGTAATTTTTATTCTTTGAAAATGTGTTGTCCAATTACAAATTGTTGGATACTTGGTAGTTTTCCACTATGGTAAATAATATTTCATCTAGGACCTCTTATATCAATGTTTATACACATGGTTAGATTCTTAAAAGTGTATTTTCCAGGTTCTAGCGAAAGTTTCACTACTTAGATTGTAAGGTCAGAGGCCAATTGTTTTACTACAATGTTATTTCTCAACTGTAAAATAGGAATAATAACAACAGTTGGATATTTGGAGGATTACCAAAAATATTTAGCAAAATATCATAGTATGTTATTGATTATTTTGTCAATTTACTTGTGAGAAAGAGTCTGTTTATAAGCAGCATAAGAGAGTAGAATTTCTCCAAATCACTCAAATAGAAAAAAAAAAGCAATAAAACTTAGATAATTATTACATGAAAACAGTGTCTGATTTAAATTTGCATTTCTTTCAGAAACAAAGTTGGACACTTTTCATCACAACCTCTTATGACATAAATTGTAAATTGCCTTTCCAATATCTCTAAAAAATTTTTTTATTTAATTTCTGATATGGTAAATATAAATACATGTAATTCACATAATCATAGGAGACCATAATAATTTTGAAGAGTGTTAGGGATCTTAACGTTAAAGGCCAAATTTTGAACTAAAAATAGAAATTCTATAAATATTGCTTTTCTTCACCATGGGGAATTTTCCATACTGTTACTTAAAACCCTTTTTATTAAATGGATGGGCTATGTAGAAAATGTAAGTGAGGCATTTTTAGTCTCTCAACAATCTATTCCACAAAATTGGGGAAACTGAAAAGGGTTCAAAGAAGATGGTAGTGTCTCCCACAGCCCTGGGAGTATCCAAACTGGTTTAATGTAGAGAAGACGGAGCTAAGACTAAGGGTTACATGACATTTTTTAACAAAGGTATTGTAAGAAAAATAAATGTCTATGTTAGTCAAGAACCAACTTGTAGAAAACAATTTAAGTTTTAGCAAACACTTCATGTTCTACTTCTTGACAAATAGGGCAGTAATAGTTGGGGGAACCAAAAAGTTGGTCCTGAAGTTCTTTCCTGAAGTTCAGTCAATAGAGCAGATGTTGTAGTCCTTTGATCCCATGGCTTGCCTGAGGGGGGAAAAATGTGCCCATTTTTTGTAAGTCTTGCTAGGTGGTTTTCAGTTGTTTTATTCCTTCTGGTTCTTAATCAACCCTTATAGCTTTCTTTGAAAATAGAGTTTTTCTCACCTTTCTATAAGTACAAAATAAGTTTAAATAATCCATTGTTAACCATAAGTAGATTTGCAAAGCTGCACTGCCAGTCCACTTATTTATTGAGTTCAAGTGATTCAGAGAAACTAAGCAAGCACCTCTAAGTGATCCCTACCAGAGTTTAACAGTTTACTTTTTTCACCTATTCAGGGAGTTTTCATGAAAACCAATTGCATGCTAGGCACTACATTTAGGACATACCTGGTTGAATAAGAGGGCTATGACCAACAGCCTCTTGGAATAGACAGATGATAATTTTTTAAAAAAAAAATTAGAGGTTTTACTTCCTTTTTTTTTAAGATTGATTGATTGATTGATTGATTGATTGATTTATATAAGCACAGGGTACAGTCAGAAGCACTGGAGGGTGAGAGAATTCACCAGAGCCAGAGCGGGGAGCAAAACAGGCATGACGAAGAAGTACACTGCTGAGGGGAGCAGCGGGCGTGGCAGGAGAGGTCTGCGCACCAGGAGAGGTCTGCGCGCCATGTGGGACCCTCGCCTGCGACCTGGGATCTAACCGGCACTGCAGAGGCTGCGGGCAGCTTTGCAGCCCAGCGCTCAACTGCTGTGCCACCGGGGAGGCCCTAGACGGATGATAATTAATATGTGAATCAGTTGCTACCTTTTTCTTAATCTTCATTTGCTTAGCTTCTGAAGTCTTCAGGGAAATGTAGGTATAACAGGTAACCATATATTTTGAACTAGAAAAAAAAGACCATAACATGTGTAATTTCACTATTCTGTAGTGCAAAAGGCTCACGTATTTATTATACTCAGCATATCCTTACTTAGATTTTCATTTTATTGTTTAATTTACAGTTGTTTTCTACTTATCCAATGAGGAGAAAATATCAGGGGCAAACTGTATTCCATTGCAGATAGCATTTTTTGCTTTAGATTGGTAAAGAACTTCACTCATTCCCACAGTAAACATATGAATTCATAAAGCAGGGAGAGATGCCGATAATGAAATTATTTCTTTATTTTAATAATTTTATTTATTTTTAAAATATTTTTTACATTGTTCTTCATTTTTTTACAATGTGTGC